CCAGACAGAGCCCAAAACCCTTTACCTTATTAACTCAATTGACCCTCACACCAATCTTTTATGATAGTTACTAATTTTAGAGAAAAGAAAACTGAGACCTGTGCATGGTGGAGATTTGACCCCAGGGATTCTGGCTACCAGACCTTCCTTCTTGAGATATCACCACATTTGACTTTTCTTAAATAGACAAGAAATGATAACTAAAGAAACACTTTCTTTAAATCAGTGTTTCTCAGAGTATATTTCCCTCTCAGACTTCTTATATCAGAATTTTATTGGTGCTTCTTAAAAATGAAAATTCTTGGGCCAACCCAGATCTACTCAGACTAAAACACTGAGAATCACAAGCCTGGGAATCCTTACCTGTAACAAGCACCCCACCTGGTTCTCACACGTAATGAAGGCTGACCTTTCCTAATCCTGATAATATCAATTGAGAAAAAACAAACAAACAAATAAACATTTCTTTTTTTTTTTTTTTTTGTTTTTAGTACAGGGTCTACAGGGTCTCACCGCACAGCTAAGACTCATAGCGATTCTCCTGTTTTCAGCCTCCCAAATGCTGAGATTACAGGTGTGCACCACCATGCCCCATCTCAAACCCCATCTCAGTACGTCCCAGGGGCGGGGCTGCAACAGCAGGCCGGGGATCGAACCCTGTGGCTGTGTTCTGCCTAAGCAGGCACTTTAGTCTGCTGAACTATCTGACCAGCCCCTAAAACCCAAAATTGAACAAAGAATCAAATCTATAATTTCTTTCATAAATACAGAAGAGAATGTCTGTCAGTAACTCTCTGGGACTAACCAGTGATCATGGTAAATCTCCCATCCTATCAGAGAGGACAGGATAAGTCTCTGAAGGCAAAGTCTGAAGCAGAGTCCAAAGTAAGCCCTGCATTTCCCACTAGGACAACTCTGTTCTTCAGCCGGGCAGCCGGGTGCTTCCCTGGACTGCCAGAAAGCACAAAAGTGAAGCAGGTGCTAGGGCTGAGGTGGAGCAAAGGGAACAGAAAGTAAATAGCCAGGGAGAGATGGCAGTTTCCTAAGCACACAATTTCCAGTACTTTACACTTCAATCCAGGAATTCCCTCAGTAATGTTGTAAGTCTTGGACTCTAACAATTAAACAGATCTAGCATTTAATCTGTGGTCCTCTGTAGAGCACAGAAACTGTATAGCCTTCAGGATTTTTTTCCTTAAAGCTTTACCTCTCTTTAATAAATGATATTTTAAATTAATTGAGAGGTTCCCTTTTGATTTAGAGTTTTATTTCAGAAGAATTTTCTTTTCTTCTTTTGGTACTGGGAATCGAACTCAGGGCTTTGTGCTTGCCAGCCAAGCACTGTGCTGCTGAGCTACATCCTTGGCCCCAGAGGAGATTATCTTTGCTCATTCATTTTACTTCTCTTTTACCTTGCATTTAATTTTGGAGTGGCCTGTCCGATGTTATGAGCAACAATGATTTAAGTTGCATCGAGACTTTGGTGTGGAATATATATGTATTAGAGATATGCAGTTCATGACAATAAAACATAATCCTAATTGCTCACATCACGGGAAGTTCAAAACAGATGAACAGCAGCACTCATGTTGTACTTTTAGAAATAGTGAGAGTACTCAAAAAGCTGAGAATGATGCCTTGTTTATTAATGTGTTGAAGCACATTTGAAATGCTTGACTTTGACTCTTGGTCCTACAAGAATCAACTTCATTATATGACAAGCTTATATATTAGTTAAAATACAAATTTACTCTCTGGATGTAGGCATTTTACATCTGGAATTCACATACTCAAGTAAAGTATATTACAAAATCTAAGCATTTTTCTTACATTAAGGTAAATATATATGTGAATAACAATTTAATAACTGAACACGGTTGTAAATCAAGAAATAATATCTTCCAGTTGAAAGTCTACTGTTAGATAGGTTGAAATGCTAAAAAGTTATGGGTACAATAGGAGATGTGCTCCCTGCAGCCCACAGTGGAAACATGAGAAAACAGGAAAGTGCACTTGGGCACACTGTCCCAGCAAGCTGAGGATCTGATGGGCTTCGGAACACGCACCGAAAAAGTAATTCCAGGGATATTGTCACGCCTTGTTTACATCTTGGGGAACATGGTGACCATTAATTAATGAAGTGACATTCATTATAGGAATACTGTGGGTTTCACTGCCTTCACTGTAAAGTTTACTTTGTCTGAAATTTTATTTTCAGGGCACAACTACCGAAACAGAAATAAGAAAGAGACGATCTATTTCTTACCATGTTTCCATGGATTTGCTGGAAGATCCTACAAGGCAAAGAGCCATGAGCATGGCCAGCATTCTGACCAACACCATGGAAGGTATGCAAGCGTCTCACACCATAGCTGCTTGGCGTACTTTGGTAATGACCCAAACCACTCCCTTAAATTCCATGGAATCACTATCCAACTTGTTACCATATTATCATTATTTCTTTTTACTAAGTAAAAGTAAAACCCATACACAACACACAGATTCTACTGTCTCATTAACTTTTTGCATTTAGTCTCCAGGAAGCTACAGAAAAATTGAAGGCGTCTATGGAAAGCTAATTTCTAAATTCTAGAGGCATGAAGATTGCTGTGTTCATGACATTGAAAGAGTGTAATGATAAGTGATGGTCATTATGATGCTGCTAACCCGTCTGAATTATATTGACTACTTGAGATACAAAATCCATTCATTAAGAAATCCATTCATTTAAAAGGCAATGTAATTGAAAGATGAAAATTACTTTTCTGTATTAACTTCATTCAAGCTGCCTGCCCAATTTCTGTAGTTCTGCTTTTGCCTTTCTCTGACCAGAATATTGTCATACATCAGCGTTCTCTTCAGTTTTAGATTATATCTAAGTATTAATATGATGCTTAGAAGCCTGGATCGTATAATGCCAAGGGGAAGATTTTGTGGTCAACATAATTTGCTATCAATTCCTGGCTCAGCGCACGCTAATGTGTTACTTTATGCTTTGAATTTTGGTTTCTTTATCAGGGAAGTGTGAAAAATGAATAATAATTGTCAAACATAATGTGGTTTTTTGTTTTGTTTTGTTTTTTTTTTTTTTTTTTTTTGTATTTGAGGGAAGGGTCTACAGTGTGTTCAGGGTCTCACTACTAGATCGGACTCGTAGTGATCTGCCTGTTTACGGTCTCCCAAGAGCTGGGATTACCTGTGCGCGCCACCACGCCCAGTCTCAAATTGCCATCTCTGCCCGCCCTGGGGGCGGGGCTGACACAGCTGGCCCAGGGATCCAACCCCCAGCTCCTGTGCCTGCTTGCAGGCACTTTAATCCGCTGCGCTATTTGGCTGACCCTAAACATAATGTTTTTTAAACACCAAAAAAAAAAAAAAAAATCATATACAAAGCACCTTTGTACTTAGCATGCAGATTAGTCAATAAATATTATCATTTTTTAGTTTCTTTTATTGCATTATGTTGATAATTCACATGTTTTTGCCTTTTTATGCTCCAAGTCAATTCAAACAACAACTGTCAGCTTCAGCTATTTGGAAAATGCTTTCACGTGAACTGTGTTCTATCTTCCTTAAGGCCCACGTCTTCCTTTCCCTCGCTATTTTCAAGTAACATGCATTTTATCCCTCCTTCTTTTGACTTTCCCTCAAACCAAACCCTTCCTCATATGAGGAAAAGTGTGTGCTGTGTGTATGTGTCAGTGTCAAAGAAGAAACAGCAAAGAAGAAAAGTGAAACCAAAGGAGAGCCTTTCTTGACATTAAGTTTTCCTTGAGATTGAGTAGATTCCTGGAATAATTATTTTCTAGTCTTAATATAAAGATTCCACAACGTCATTACCAGCACTAAAAGTCACAGCCACAAAAAAAACTCACAAAGTAGGTGATTGTACACATCACAGGCAGCACAGTATTCCATGATCCAGTTTTTATAGCACCCTAATACAGTATGGGAAATCTCTTCACTGATTTCAATGGAATAATAAACTCTAGTACGTTCTTCTTCAACCTTGCCTGCATTAGCTTGCACTCCCTCTTCCCTCCCAGCTGCCAGTAGCTTGCTCCTCCCTATCCCTCCAGGTAAATCTTTTGAAGAGTCTCTGGTCTTCTGCTCCTTGCCATAGCAAAACCACTGAGAGGAAGCTGCCAGTGGTTCTGCTACCGATGTCAGCAGCATTCCTGCTCCCTAAAGCAGGAAGTAGAGAAGGAGACAGGGTAAGTCGAAATCAATGGTCATACTTTGCACTTCCATAACATTAAGTTTGAACTAACATAAATTACTTATGAAACATAAAGCCATAACAACATCGGACTTGTACACTAATTAGGACATGAATTCAAAGTAAATTCACCCGTGTCTTCCTACCCAAATGTCTCACAGGATGTTTTAAGAACAAGTATATTTTAGGAAATAACACACTCAGAGTGTTTTGTTTTTAATATCTGCAAAGCTTTTGACTTTGTATTTTTGTGACGGACTATGGGCTTTATTCTGATGTTCTTGGGTTACACAGAATGAAAGGCTGACTTTTCAGTTATAGCTAAACACTGACACCTGTCAAGATTGGTTGGTGGCATTATTTAGTACATACGTGCATACTAGAGCTAACTTGGGTACTGTTCTTTTTAGGTACTGATAATTGTGGAAAGTTTGTTTGGTTGATATAATCTGATTATTTGAAGATCATTTTTCTAAGATTTAGTTTACTTTTCCTTCTGATGATACAAGCTTTTTGATCAGGCAACCTTTGCTTTCCTTCTGTAAACTGCAGCCAAGTCTTCATTGTCCAGAGTAATGAATAGGCTCATGTTAGTGAAGGAATAGCAGATGGGTAAAAATGGATTGTTTACTTTTTAAGTTGATTTGAATAGAAAATTGTATAGAAATGTTTCACGGTCACCTTAACAAAGGATGGCGGCCATGTGAGCCAAGAGCACCAGGGGAATCAAGGAAAACCAGCAAGGTACAGATGCAGCTGTCTGGAGTTCTCAGGGTGGAAACCTGCACCAGGGCAGTGGAGAGGTGGCTGCAGTTCTCTGCTGAGTGCTTCATTTGTTTCGCAGTGTGAGATTCTTTTTCTTTTTTGGAATGAATGATTGAATAGCTTTGTTTTAGAATTTCAATAACTTTCCTCCAGTTTCCCCTAGTGTCAAGATGAACAACACCTGCTGAAAGTCCCTGTTACTGTTTCAACTTTTCTCTTACTTATTTTTTTCCTATTCCATTTGTTTCTCTTTCTGACAGCTAGCATTAAAAAAAGAAAACAAGAAATATCCTATTCTGACAGTATACAAGCAAAGTGAGATTTTCTAGTGTCTCTGTTTTATTTATTGTAAAGGATTTTATCTATTTTTTCCTCCCTGAACATGAGTTTGAGAGTCTTAAAAGTATCTAGTGTATAATATTCTATGTTTATATGAGATGTATGCTTTTCCTTGATTTACAATATACTACATACATATGTATGTTTTTCTGCGATTTATAACTTATTTTTTAACTACATTTTATATTAAAAGAAATGGAAATCAAAGTTCAATTGAAAATTTTTAATATCTAAAGAGATAATTGAAGATTTTACTTTCAATAGAATTCCGCTTTAAAAAATAAGCAATAAGGGCGGGAAGATGGCTCAGTGGAATAAGCGCTTCTCTGGCAAGCGCAAGGGCCTGAGTTCAATACCCGGTTCTTAAAAAAAAAAAGCAGTAAATTAATTTACTTTAGGGGTGTGATACAGTGGATAGCATTAATTTGTGGCAAATATTAAACAGCTGGTGCAAAATTATTGTTTGTAGCCATGACTTACTTTGTATGCCAGGTCCTCCCTTACTAAATTTAGTTTGCAGCACACCATAGCACATATGGAAAGATAGTCCAGTTGCCCCAGTAGCAATACTAAAGTGCCTGACCAAGGTCAATTATGTCATGGATGATAAAGAAGTAATGTGTCCTCTGATTCTAGGAACAGGTGGCCCATGTCTGGACACAGCAGATAGTAAGATATGCAGCAATGACATTGGCAGAAAACGACCAGCCATGTGTCCTGTCAGTTATGAGTGCATTAAAGGTTATCTTATCAAAAGATGGCAGATGATTTTCTACTTCTCAGTTCTTTGAAATTCTTTGCCAAAGTTTATTAAGCTTTAGTATGTGGGATAAGGCCTTAAAGATCTGCATATTTCTGCTTTCTCTTCTGTTATTCAGTTGAAAATCTTCTTGAAAGTATCATACTTCTTTCTTAAAATTTTTAATAATTGTTTAAATAATTTTAATTATTAGTTTGATAATCAATTTATGAAATTTTATGTCATAGGTTTACAGAGAATTTAATTCCAGTATATTAAAATAAAAAACATACTGTGGAAATCATTAATTCTATATATGTTCTATCTAAAATTTCCTTGTTTTTTTCACAGTATATAATTTCACTTTGTGAAATACTAACTTATGCCAACTATAAGATGCCACTTTATTAGTGGGTGCCTCCCCTCCACTTGTGCTCTAGTGTTAAATTGAGGCATATGTAGAACATAAACCTTTCAAGATTAATATGCTAGCCTACATAGAATGAAGTTTAATTTTCATAAAATAATTTTTACTTGAGACCTCAACAAAACTATCTCACTGAAATCCACCAAAGCATATATCTAAGAATCTGAGGTTCAGTTTGATATTATCTTTCTTTCAAGATGTCACTTGAGAAGATTTGGTTAACTTGTATGCTTCCTGAACCTCTGTCTGGAATGTGGATGAGCTTCAAGTGTACTTACAATATAAATCCTAATGTTTAGTAATCTGATAGACTTGACAACTATCAAACAATTCACTATTACAGGCAGAATCTTGGGGACTGTGGTCAGCCATGAGAAATTTCAGAAGCTTGCTTGCCTTTCTTTGCCCAACCCTTTTATGGTAGGAAACCCATAAGTCTTTTCCTGGCTCATCCATAAAATTAATCCATTTCTTTTAACAATCATGGAGCTTTGGAAAATTACTTTTAATTTAAACCAAAGACTAATTTAAAAAGTATGCAGTTTTCATGAGGATTCTAATGTTTTTTTCTTCCAGAACTTGAAGAATCCAGACAAAAATGCCCACCCTGCTGGTATAAATTTGCTAACATGTGTTTAATTTGGGACTGCTGTAAACCATGGCTAAAGGTGAAACATCTTGTCAACCTGGTTGTGATGGACCCGTTTGTCGACCTGGCCATCACCATCTGCATCGTCCTAAATACGCTCTTCATGGCCATGGAGCACTACCCCATGACTGAGCAGTTCAGCAGCGTGCTGTCTGTTGGGAACCTGGTAAGACTCGCTAGGGCACCTTTTCCCACTGAATGAGTTCCTGACTGCCTTAGTGGGCTTCACACATCACGCTCAAAATAGGAACCATGGACTATGGCTACCAGAGCAGAAGTTTAGCCTCCTTTGATTAACAGCAAAAACATACAGTCACTTCTACACATAGTGCAAAATTGAATGAGATCAGATGTATACTTTGATGCAGAATTGCATTTAAATTGCTCATTCATTAAAAGTCAGCTAAGAAATGCAGAGAAAATTGGTCTATGATAAGAAAATTCTGACATATTTCTCATGTATTTACAATAAATTACTTAGGACATGTCTAAATTTGCAAAACTAATTATAAAAATGGCAAGTCAAATAATTTTGAAATATCATTTTAAAATACCTGAAGTTGGACTCTGAGATAAAACCATGATATGGTGATTACTCTTTCAGTTTAAATTCCTCTTATAATTTTAGAAAAGCACAAATGATGCATTTTTATTTTTACTTTAGGAATTGATATTAATATAGCATGGTAGAGTGACAGAAATGAAAGTAGAATGGTCTTATTTAGAGAAATCAAATAAAAGTATGCAATAAGATACATTATTACTAATGAAAAATGCATTATAGCATTATAAATGCATGTGAAGACAGAATATATATGTATATATATACATATATGTATATATATTAGTTTATATACAATATAAACTACAGTGCATCAAGTTTTTAGCCTTGAATTAGCCACTATGAATTTTATTAATTTGATGTATATTATATTTCAGTTAGGTGCTTAACTGAAACAAAAGATGTTAATTTACACTGAGCAATTATTTTACACTGAGGACTGTGCTAAACAATTTACATGGAATCTCTTTCTCTCGATTCCTATGAGGTTAGTTCTAAGGCAGCAGACATCATGTTTCTTCTTTATTTTACAATTGGAGAGACCATATCCATGAAAACCCAACAGAGCCATGGGTGGTCTGAAAGCTTTACCAAAGCCCGTAAGAGCTATTGTAGGCAGCACTGAGGCACAAATCACAGAAGCTTAGAGCAGGGAAAGACAGTAGTGTTGCGTGGTCTAAATTTTCACTTTCATTGGAATCTCTTCAACATTCCACCTAAAATATGGGCAAGCAATGCAGCACAGGTGGTGAAGATTAGAACACAGATTAAGTGATTTAAAGCATGCATAAAGAGAATTCCTTGCCTCATGTAACTCAGTCTTAGGTGAGTCTCCAGGTTCTAACCTGAATAAATTCTAGTTCTGTCAGAGTCCCTGGGAAGTAGTATCTTCCCCACTTTTTCTCAGTATGTTTCCTGATTTCTGGCTGAGTATTCTATTGTTGAAAAGGTTTTACTAACTTTTTCTACCCATGTAGCTCACCAACCAGAAAGATTGTGTTCCCTAGCTGGTAGATTTAAATCAGAGCCAATAATTAAATACAAGTAACTTGCGTAGAGTTATATGACCTTTCCCACTTGGTTCATTTTGCTTATAAGATTAAAATATTGTATTGGTTTTGATCAGAATACTGTCAGCATACAGTTTTGGAATTGCAAAGACAAAAATTAGAATATCATTATCTGAAGAAAGAAAAATGGATGATAGGAAGGCATGAACAATAGAAGGACAACTCAAATTAGGACTTATCTTAAATGTTTGGAAAGGTAAGATTTGTAGTGGCAGTGAATCATGGAATGGTGACCGCATACATGGACAGGATGCTTTCTTCTCAAATGCCTATGAGATACTTCTCAGGATAAAGTATGTGTTCATTTATTCAAAAATCCTTGAAAAATT